TTCCAGATCAGCATAATAACTTTACATGTGGCAGGTATCCAGAAATGCTTCCCATAATCCTTCAGTGTCCTTGGTGTCAAGCTTACCCCAACTGATTAGATTCTCCTTTCCCATGTTGAGCAGCCCTTCTTCTATTTTTCTTATTCTACTTGTCCATTTATCTCCCTCTGACTGAACCCTCATCTGAATGGGGATGAAATATTTCATGATGACACTAGGGGTAAAAATCGGCTAAACAACTCAAACCAACAGCTATAGGGTAGACTTTCTATATAAAAAGCAGTTTGCTTGAGGTTTGTAAGACTTTTGTTATAATGAAAACCAACTTTTTAAATCAGTAAGGAGTATATAAAAAGTTTATCAAATAATGAAAACTTCAGTTCAAAATTGTAGGCAAAAAATAGAAGGAAAAGGTTATAGAAAGGATCAAAAGGAGTAGGGAATGGCAAGCGTCTGCTCCACCCAGATCTGAAGGTTACACTTGAGGATATTACCACCTCTTCCACTACAGAAGAAATCAGTCTCAGGCTACAATCCTGAAGGTTCGAGGTTCTTGTCTCTGAACAGTTTTGCTCATGAACCACAGGTCACACTTTTTGAAACCCGTTTTTCACTTTTCAATGAACTGATGTATGTTTATTCTTCTCATGCTGATTTTTACAGTTGCTCTCAAACTGCTGGTGTCAAACAATATCCTCTATTATGCCACTCTTCTGAGATAATGCTTTGTAGTGCTTTCCAGACTCAATGAAATCTTAATAAAACATTTTTTTTCTTAGCCTATGGATCTATGTTGATGGCAGGCAGAAAGGTTTACCTGTTAAATTTTCAATCTTTCCAATAACCCATGGGCTATGCCCTTATTATAATCTTCACAAGCAAAAAGCAAGTATGTGGCCATAGAAGAGTTCTGCCTTCAGAGTTCTATGGCAGTGTTTGTCAAATTCTCCAGTAATAGAAACTCTTTAAAAAAATTCTCGAGATACAAATATGATACTAGTGAATACTTATAACTACTACGTGTTAGGCACCTTGCTTTTAGATGCATTCTCATTTAATCCTCACAGATGCTTTTATACCCTTGTGAAGTTACAATTACTACAATGAATAGTATCCTCACAAATAGCATTATCCTCATTTTTATGTATGAGTAAACTGAAGCTCACAGAGGCTAAGTTACCTTAAAATCACACATTAGTGAGCTGTGAATCTTTCTGGTTCTAGAATCCATGTTTTTAATACCCCCTGGATCGTGCTGCCTCCTGATGGGGCTGTGCGGGGAAGATGATTTTTTGGGATTTACACCTACCCAGGTAGAACCAGGCATGGCATTCTGTGAGGCTTCATTCATCTAGCTTGTCCTAGATGGGGCCAAAAGGCTTGACTGCATTTGTCATCTGGACTGCATTCCATTTAGATATTCATTTTGATGTGGTAGGTCTTACAGTTCATTTTTATCAGAAATATATGTACACTGTTTTAAAATTAAATTACCACAAAAGCATTTCCTCCCTATTTCTAAATTTGGTTCCCCAGATGCAAGTATTTTTTACCATTTTGTCTATTTCTTCTGTTAATTAAATCCCTACGTCTAGACTGAGCTTTTCACAGGACGGTCAAATACTCCAGTCATGCCTTTGTTCTATTTGTTGTGTGTTTTTAATGGTACCGTCTCTTTTGAAATTCCTACCATCTTTTGCCTCTCTGTTTTGAATCCCCTAATTGCCGCATCACAAGTCTTCTTCCTTGTTTACTCCATTACTTTGTAGCACTTAAGAAATGTCTTGGCCGGGCGCGGTGGCTCACGCCTGTAATCCCAGCACTTTGGGAGGCCGAGACGGGCGGATCACGAGGTCAGGAGATCGAGACCATCCTGGCTAACACGGTGAAACCCCGTCTGTACTAAAAATGCAAAAAAAAAAAGTAGCCGGGCGCGGTGGTAGGCGCCTGTAGTCCGAGCTACATGGGAGGCTGAGGCAGGAGAATGGCGTGAACCCGGGAGGCGGAGCTTGCAGTGAGCCAAGATCCTGCCACTGCACTCCAGCCTGGGCGACAGAGCGAGACTCCGTCTCAAAAAAAAAAAAAAAAAGAAATGTCTTGAGGAAAAGCTATAAAAGGCAGTATTTTTGAGACCTTACATGTTTTAAAATTTGTGTTTTACTTTGATACTATTCTTTAGCTGGAATATTAGGATATAATGAACTTTTGAAGGAATTGTTCTATTGTTTTCTCACTTCCAGTGTTACTGTTAAAAAGTCCAATGGCATTCTGATTCTGGATCCCTTGAACGGGACCTATTATTTTCTTCTTAGTTTTTAGGACTTGTCTTTATCACCCCAGTACTCTGAAATTTTGTAACTCATATGTTTTAGTCCTTTGTCTTTTTTTTTCATTTTGCTGGGCAGAGTAGGTCTTTTCAATCTGGAAACTCTTATCTTTCAGTACTGGGACATTTATTACACAATTTCCAGGGTAATTTTCTGTCTCCTTTCCTGTTCTCTCTTCTAGAATTCCTACTAGTTGGGTACTATATTCTCTGGAATAATTCTCCAACTTTCTTTTCTCTCATTTTCTCATGTTTGACTTTTTGTTCCAGTATTTGTAAAATGTCTTCATCTTCCAAAACTTCTATTTGAAGTTTCTTCAAATAACTGTTTCCTGAAACTTTAAACTTTATTTTCTATGTACAATCAGTATGAGACATTTCTCTTAGACCTATGATGTCATTCATCTGTGACAAAATGTGCTTCTTCAGAAGAAATTTTACCACCACAAGTCACTTTTGTTATATAGGGTTTAATGAGACCAAAACAAAAAGGTGCCTTTCAGTTCCCACGTTAATTTAGCGCAAAATAATTTCTTTGAAACTTGTCGAATATCACAAAATATTGGCCAAAAGAAAACCCCAAAAAAGTAGCTTGTATTTGTGGCATGCTAAAAATGGAGCTTCAGTGTACATAACTGTGAAATAAAAAGACATGGAGACAATTCCAGCAATCAGACTTGGCCAAAGCACAGGGCTTTTGGCAATGGCCTGGAACGAATGTGGAATGCATTGCCCATTTGAATCAAAGTCCAGATGGCTATGATTTCTTTTTTTCCATTTTCAGTTCACTATAGTTCTACGGGCTTTTTTTGTTTTGTTTTTAGGCCTCTTAGCAAAAATTTAATCTCTGGAAAATATTTCATGTGAAAATACCCCATATGAGTGTGATTTCTGTAGATGACAAAGGTGTTTTTGTATCAACAATCTCTCATTGCAAATGACAATGACAAAGGCATGTGCCACCATGCCCGGCTAATTTTTTTATTTTTCGTAGCGACGGAGTTTCTCCATGTTGGTCAGGCTGTTCTCAAACTCGGGACCTCATGTGATCAGCCTGCCTCAGCCTCCCAAAGTGCTGGGATTACAGGCATGAGCCACCGCACCTGGTGCCAGTTTTAAAGTTTTGAAAAGCAAAAACAGTAACAGTACAAGTATTTTGAGCCTCCATTGCTCTGAGCTGAAAATTAGGATAAGATTTATCTCATTAGGGTTTGCATGTGTTGTATTGCTGTATATATGTAGAATGACTAATGCATCTCATACACAGTAAGCATTCAGAAAATGGCTGCCATTGTTGTAGCACTAGACTCTGTTGTCTTAGACTAGATACTAGCAGTGTTAATGCAATACCTCAGTGATCAAGAAACTGACTCAAATTTTTTTTTCTGCTTAGTACCATCCATACCAAACTGACAGCTGTCATCCTTGTTTTTCACTTGTTTATAAGATATCTATCTTTTGTGCGTTCTGCATTCTTATTTAATTATAAACTTCCCAAAAAAGGAAATTATTTATCTCCCAAAAGCCTTGAGCAAATCTGAGACTCTCAAAATATTATCAGCTGACTCAGGTTGACTTTTGAATTCAATGTTCTTTCACTGCGAAGTCCACTTGCTGCTGAAAGGAAATCTTAATTTCAGGCAAATGGCAAATTGCTTTATTGTTTACATTTCTTTAAAGGATTTGCTTTGCTTACATATTTTATGAATAAAAATTGCTAAATACTGCACAATAATTTGATGAATAATTCTTAAGGATACAATCAAAGCAACTTATAAGTCCAAGGGGCCTAGGGTTGTTTGGGGTTTTGTTTAACAGAAGGTTAAGGGACTCGCCGATATGAATGTGGAGTATGGAGGGAGAGAAATGTCTGCGTTTGTGTTCCTGCTCTTTATAAGGCAACATTACCATGCCTCTTTTCTGGAGACATCACACCATCCTGTGATCCACAGAAGACCCAAGTTCCAGGCAATACAACTAGGAGTCCTTGCAAAGAAACACTTATGTCTGTCTATTCCCATAGTTTAGTCTACAGTTAAATACACTAACTACAGCTTAGTCTAGTAGTTCTCAAACATCACTGGGCACATGACTCACCTAGAGAAGTTATAATTTACCTGAATCTCCTCAAAAATTGCTTCAATACCTAGAGTAGGACAAGAAATTTGCAGTTTAACACACTTTCACCACTGCCACCCTATGATGTGATTCTGACATAAGTAGTTCAAACCCCACAGTGAGGAAGATGGCCTAAGTCCAGGATTATACTCAGGGTTGGTATAACAGAAAATAAAATGGAATCTAGCCACTTCTTGGCCCCAGGAAGTAGCTGAGACATCTTAAAGAAACAGGTTCCTTGTTACTGGAATTAGCCTTTGTCTACCATATACCCCTTTTTTATATGTCTATTAACCTGCCAAGTCATTTGTACGAATTTGGAGATTTTTAAAGACAACCATCTTTTTTATTAATGCTTACTCAAACCTTAGACAAGCTGTTCAGATAGTAAAACTAAAATCATTTTTCTTTCCTCAACCTACTTCTGGAACATATGTTACCATTCACTGTCATAATTTCAAAATAGAATCAGGCGGGATGTCAGTGTAATAGGGGAATGTTGCGTCCTAGCCCTCAAGAATGTATTACAAGTATTTTTTTATTTTCCCCTAAACAGTTATGAATTCCAGGTGAAACCCAAAAACCCGCTTGGTGAAGGCCCGGTCAGCAACACAGTGGCATTCAGTACTGAATCAGGTAATTACATCAACAGTAATTCCCAAAAACAGTGTCAAAGGGCCACAGTGGAGCAATGTTTTGCATAGGAAGCTTGTTTGAAACCCAGCTAAACACTACATAATACTGTTTCTTGAATTCCTTAAAAACCCATTTGTGGGAAAAAGCAAACTGATGAAGGCTTAGAGAAACACCATTTATATTTAAAGACACATCAGTTTAATTTAAAAAGCATAATCTATACCCTTCCAAAAAGCTAGTGAATGAATCCTCCTCTGTACGCCTAGAATCAAAATACCTGTGAGGGCATCCACAAAGGGAACACATGATAGTTTAATAACAGCTGTGAAATTTTCCAATTAGACCTTACAAGTTCCAATTCCTTAATGAGATACATCTGCACATACAGCATTAATATTTGCATAATTTTTATACCAACTGTAGTTCATGGCATCTTGGTGATTTTTACCATGAAGTTTTTGTATCAAACTAAAAGCAGCAGCTTTTGAAATTCAAGTGGAGGCTGGAACAGCGACAACTGTTCCCAACTACTCAAATTACATATAACAGATACAGCTGAATACCTACCAGGCAGGAGATTATTCAATCAAGAACAATTTCCAAAACAAAGCAAACTTTAGCAAAAGAGTGCCACTTTGCAAATAAGACTTCCTAACTGTAAGCACCCATCATCTTCACCATGCCACTGGAATGTTGGGGTTTTATCTAGTAAGGTCTGACTTTTGTATTTATTTCTCCTCAGCGGACCCAAGAGTGAGCGAGCCAGTTTCTGGTAAGTACCTGTCTCGATGAGACACAACTACATGCTTTTCTAAATTTATTCAACTGACCAGGCATGGCAGAATCTGAATCATGATTTCACGTTTTTCCACTTAGTCTTCTTATAATACCAAACAGGTGTGAATGTTTACCTACACATTGTACAACACTGAGGACCCATGATGTTCTGGGAACAAGTTGGACATTTTGAAATTTGCTTTCACTCATGCGCCAGGCTTATTATTATTTAATAAAATAGCCAGTGTAATCCCAGCACTCAGAAGCTGAGGTGGGAGAATTGCTTGAGCCCAGGCGTTGGAGACCAGCCTGGCAATATGATGAGACTCCCTCTCTACAAAAAATTTACCAATAAAAAATTAGCTAGGCATGATGATGCACACCTGTGGTCGTAGCTACTTAGGAGGCTGAGGTGGGATGTTCGCTTGAGCCCAGGGGGTTAATGCTACAGTGAGCCATGATCCCGCTTGGGCAACAGAGTAAGATCCTGTCTCAAAAAAAAAAAAAAAAGAAAAGAAAATATAACACCCTCATTTCCACTTTTAATAACAAGTCATATTCAAGCAGTTGTCTAAATTTTATAACATGCTACAAAAAAGAAACCTAAATTTCCTCCTAAATAACACTGCCTACATCTAGCTCTGCAGAGGCTATTCAACACCTAAACACCTTAACATACTGCTCTCAGACTGATCTATTGACAGAAACTTATTCTGGGGTTTACTTGTTTAAATCCTTCTAATATTTTTGGCTCCAATATTTAGCATGGGGGGAAAAAAAGGTATCAGCAAGTTGACAAATTCTGCAAACTGATTATTCTTAAAGTATCTGACCCAAGAGTCAGATACTAAACTCAAACTGTTTTCCTTATGTAGCAGGAAGAGATGCCATCTGGACTGAAAGACCCTTTAATTCAGACTCTTACTCAGAGTGTAAGGGCAAACAGTATGTCAAAAGGACATGGTATAAAAAATTTGTAGGAGTGCAGCTGTGCAACTCTCTCAGATACAAGATTTACTTGAGCGACTCCCTCACAGGTAAGCAGGGCTACCAGCTGTTTTCAGCCCTTAACTTATGGGAATGTTTTGCAGCATTGTACAACTTGGTCTTTTCTTAAAGAGTTTCAGGCACTAATGGGTGCTGTAAACACAAGTTTTCCTCTGAGCAAAATGTTATGGAAATGGTTATCATTCCTAGAAAACAAGGATTTAAAACATGCTATTAGAAGGTAAATAATAAAAATGCAATTATAAAACAGTGCCATCATGGCAAACTGGAATGTACATTCACTAACCATGCTCAAACTCCATTTTGTTACAACCATCCAGGGATAAAAAGCCTATTGACAATAAAGTGACTAAATCTAACAATAACCATGGAACGAATATAACATCTTCAAGATGCTAGAAGAGCTACAACCCCCTGCTCCATGCCCAATAGGTTATAATTTTCTATATCCAGAGTAAAAATTTTTAATGAATAAGGCTGGCCCTAACATAGAAAAGTAGATTTTTCAGTCATTCAACTTTTCTAGGTGCTGAACACAAAGCAGCATAAAAGGTACTTCCTACTTTCCTACAGTTTACCTCTCCTTCCTTTCCTTAGTAAGAAGAGATAGACAATATGTAAATAAGTAAACATTTCATAGAGGTAAAGAACATTTTCAAAAAGGTGAAGGCCTAACAAGTTAGCACTAGCTAAGGAGAAAATTGGGAAGGAACTAACCACACAAAAGTCTAGAGGAAAGAGGTCAAAGGCCTAAGGCAGAATACACCTGGCCAGTTCCACCAGTATGGCCCAGACTTAGTAAGTAGAGGGGCAGGCAGGTGTGAAATCATGTGGAGCTTTGAAATCAGGTAAGAACTGGATTTTATTCTGAGTATGAGAGACTGCTGGAGAAATTTATGGAGAAAACAAACATTATCTGACATGCATTTTTAAAAGATCACTAATCTCTGATAAGGGGAGGGGAGGAAGAATACAGGTAGGCAAAAGACATTGTTGGTTTGAACTAGGGTAATAGAGAATGAGGGGAGAAAGTACAAAAACAGTGATGATGATTTTCTCCTTTTGATTTCTGGTTCTTCAGGGAAATTTTATAACATAGGTGATCAGAGGGGTCACGGAGAAGATCACTGCCAGTTTGTGGATTCATTTTTAGATGGACGCACTGGGCAGCAACTCACTTCTGACCAGTTACCAATCAAAGAAGGTATGTTTTCTGATCCTCCTCATAAGCAACAGAGTTTTACAGATTAACCCAGAAATAAATCAAGCTGAGGAAAGCAATCAATTTAAGAAGAATTCTATAGTACTACTGTTCCACATATCACATATCTAGGAAAAAATGAAGACTTCAATGTAAGTTTCTCAGCTTAGAAACTTGGAGCCAAGGGAAATTAGACAGACATAATATAAATGCATTCTACTTCAAGAAAATCTAAACTTGCAAAAACAGCCATAAAAAAGCAGTTTCCCAAACTTAAATCATTCATGTATTAATGTTACGGGTTTTGTCATACTGAGTGCACTTGCATTATTATTTCCTTAAGAAAAAAAAAAATTTAACTACTGCTACCATAAATGGAAAAAATAGTACTTACCTTGCAAGTAACTGTATAAATATAATTAAAATAGAATAATTCTGTGGGAAATGAATAACCTCTGTAAATTGCTAAAGACCCATTGGCACCAAGCTGTGTAATGAGGACTGAATAAGACTTAAAATTAATCCTTGTCTAAGCAGTGCAGAAGAGGGTAAATTAATTGTTCCTATTAGTCCGGAATCACCTGGAGGTTCTCTAAATAAACTATTTGATTCAATTTTTCAGTAACACATTTTGTTCACGGGCACTTAAAAATACCAACAATACTAAAAGATGACCTACTAAGTTCTGCGAACACATTAATGGGCAGTGAAACTGTCTCTACCAACCACCCCTCCTAACCTGACGTGGCAAATGTCAACAATTTCTCAGGTGCCCATTTTGCCAACCATGACTACACCTCAGGAAAAAACACCAGAGCTTCTTGCTCTCAGTTTTCTAAATTACCTCGCTTCACTAAGATTAGCCTTCAGCTATTCAACGACATCCTTCACTCTATAAGCTATGAGGGCAAAAATATAATACAGCAGCTATTAAAATAAAACTACTTTCTCTCTCAGGTTATTTCAGAGCAGTTCGCCAGGAACCTGTCCAATTTGGAGAAATAGGTGGTCACACCCAAATCAACTATGTTCAGTGGTATGAATGTGGGACTACAATTCCTGGAAAATGGTAGATGCTGCAAAGTTACCTTCTGTTTCATCATGGCAAACAAAATCATTGAAAATACTATGTCACATTCATTCAAAGCTATTTTGTTTACTATGTATAAAAGTCTACAATCTAATAGCAATACTAGATGTTTATTATTAGAAAAGATTGCTGAGAGTATTTATCAGGTTTTACAAAGTCATTTTAAGAAAGCAAGATATTGATGTTAACAGAATAACATTTTTGGGGAAGCTGGCTCCCTATTCATGGTATTTTAAGAGATCGTTTGTATATTATTTATCACACTGTTGTAATGATGTTTTGAGATACTTTTATAACAAAATTAACATCAAAAAAGGTATATACTTTTTAAAAATATTTACTTTTATTGATGTGTACTCTTCCTATTGACGAGTTAATTCCATAAATCTCTACTTAGTTTAACTTATTGGATCAAATTATCTTCAGCATATATATCTGGGGAAAAAAGGTCCGAATTTTCACATTTATATTTAAACTTCAATTTTTTTTAGCAACAGCTGAATAGCTTTGTGGAGGAGTATAATAGTTACACATTCATGCTAATAAATATACATTTCCTTTAAACATCCACAAATTCTTAAAAAGACTGAATCAGTAAATTTCATTTCAGCTAAAAATGAAGTCTAATATATTGTTTCAAAAGATACATTTTTACACACCATAAATGTTACAATATCTGAATATGCTTTATCAAACTATCCCTTTATGCAATTGTCTTCATATTGTTTTTATGATTCTAATCAAGCTGTATGTACAGACTGAATGTGAAGTCTGAGCACAAAAATAATGCACGATGAGATCGCCTACCATTTTATAGGATATTTACTATGTATTTATACGTTAAGACCTCTATGAATGAATGTATCAGAGAATGTCTTTTTAACTGTTTAATTCAATCTGTAATAAAAATCTGACTCATTTCTATTAAAAAAGTATTTTCCTTTAGGTGGGGAATGGGAATCCTTGCTGCACTGTTGCAGTCATTCTGAAAGGACCTTTCCCTGTACTTACCTTTCAACATGCTTCAATCTTATCAATGCTACATTTTGTATTTTTCAAATAAGTATAAATTCTGCAATAAAGAGATGATGTAATTTTTTTTAAGATTGAGTTTTTTTTTATTTCTGAATGGTTCATCAGTATGTTAACTATACCTTTTATCTCAGAAGGAAAATCACAAAGTTATCCAGGCTCTACCAAACCCCCATCATATCTATTGTTTTTGTCCTAAATTAACCTTTCATCCTATGAAGTAATAAAGTTCATTTGAAACCAACGATTACCAATGCATTTTTTTTCAGACAAAAACCAAATGGCACTGTTTTCTCTGAATGGAAATCTGTAAGTTAAAATGTTAAAATGTTTGTTTATACTTCATTTTAAGACCAAACACCAATAAGGACTTCTGAAAAATTGTTTTTTCACATAATGTTAATGACTAAATTAAATTTCAAGACCACTAATGGATTCAATCATCTTTATTAACCTATCAGTGTTACATTTTATACATAATATCTTGTTGTATTCTCCAAGGGCTCTACTTTAGTACATCATGTTAATAGTAAAAAGGCAAGTAAGATGGCTAAACCTCACCCTAGCATTTTAATATCCTCTGGACAAAGGAAGCTAGAAAGTCAATCACTTTATACACGTAAGAGTAGTGTTCCAAAGTAACTAAGAAGCTGCTACATTTTTAAGCAGGGAGGAAAAAACTTTCATTTTGGTCTTTGTGTTCCAGCAAATTATACTTTCAATTAACAGCAACAATGATATCATAAAAAATGCTCTGCTTTTTAAATTTCTGAACTTCAATACAAATTAAAATAGTACTGGAGTCTTTTGGGAGGCCAATGGCTAGCAGCTACATTAACTGGTGTAGATGAGCCTCCTTATCGATAACCAGGTCCAGGTTGGGTATAGCCCTGACCAAAGGGAGGACGGTTACGTGCATAAGGATTAGGCCCACTTGGAGGAGGGGTCATGGTACTTCCAGGAAGTGAAGTAAAACCTGGTCTTGGCTGATAGGCCCCAGGTTGGCTTGGAGCCATTCCAGGTTGAGAGGCAGGAGCCACAGTATAATTAGTAGGCTGAGAAGTTTGGGCAGTGTAAGTTTGTGCAGGATAATTGCTCGCCTGGTACTGCTGTGGCGGCTGAGCAGGCAGTTGTTGAGGCTGACCAGAAAAGGCAGGAGCTGGTGCCTGGGAAGTTGGTTGCTGGCCATATCCCTGGAACTGCTGAGGTTGTTGGGGTCCAGTCTGCTGACTATAGCTTGCTGAAAAGGCAAAATAAACAACATGTATCTTATCTTTTAGTAAAACTTTTCCAAAGAATTAGTCTTACTGTTAGGTGGACCAAAAATGGTGAGAAATTTAATAAATATGTATATAACAAGCAGAGTGGTAGATTCCATCACATAATATTTCAAGACCAAGTAGTTATCAAAGAGGCATTCTCTACAATTTTTTAAACCCTCTGAGACATAATCCCTGAGAGCAAATTCCTGCCATAGTATAATTCCTAGAACAGATGCTCAAATGATAAAAGAATTATTATACTTTCTAGGAAGATCAAAAATGGGAAAGCTAAATAGTCATTAACCAGGTTTTCAGGGGAGACCTACTTAACAGTATCAAATAAAAACACATTGTGGAGAATGAACATTTTTATATGAAATAATACTATAAATACATCTTATTGTACTAATTAGGTGCTTTAAATTTTGCTCACTCTATAAAAACTAAGCCATTAAGAATAAATACAAAGTACCATTTTCACAATCTTTAAAATCTTTCATTTCTTTTAGATTTGGTATCTGATGCTTTTTGCCTTTACGACTCAAAATTTTGACTTAGCAGTACAGCATAACACATAAAAAGCACACCATATTGCCCCATAAAAAGCAACATCTATATTCATTATTTACTAGGATGGAATTTTTTTTACAACAAAAGTCGGCTTCACTGAAAACTTTTATCTCTACCATGAAACACACCTGCAGCTACTTGCAATGAAACCTCTCCATTGACTGGAATCCTGTCAGCATTAAATACCAGATACATAAGAAAATTATTAAAATATGTACAACCCTGCATTAAAAAAAAAAAAAGGATTGAATGAATTTGAGTATATTCTGAACTCACCTTGAACCTGGGTTCAAAATTTACTCATGAAAGAAACCTTTATGACATAGTCCATGAACAAAACTGGAAAAGGTCAGAGGGAAACTGGCAAACCAACAGTGTCAAAGATGGTCCAATGTTACCACCACCACCTCTTAGTCTCCAAGCAGAGTATTTAGTTGACTATTTCCATATCTCTCAATCAAATTCAAGTTAATAGACTAGTAGGATCAGAAATACAAAGATCATAATTTGAAAAACCTAAATTTTACTCAGAGTGAAGACCCTGACTAAATTTATTAAGAGCAACCTTAGTTCTTAATAAGTAAATCAAGTATCTTTAACCCATTTAACTCATGGTAGTATCTGAACACTGACCTAAAACCAATTCATAAAAAATTCTGAATGTCATACAATTTCTCCTATCCTCTACATAAAACTTACATTTTCACTATAAGGTTTTGGAGAAACAGATGGATTCAGCTTTATACTGAAAATGCCTATTCATTTTAAGACTGTGAGAAAAAAGAAAAGTGCCTTTTCATCCTGGCACCCGAAATCTAAATTGTTTTTTTTTAACTGGGCCTGGAAGTAATCTGATCCTTAATTATTGCTTAGGGGAGGGAATAACCCTACAGGCTGAAGATTTCATTAGCAGCCCACCAGTCTCTTGAACATAATGTGGCAATGCTTCTATCACTGTGTGTGTGTGTGTGTGTGTTAGTCTCCCTCCCGTTCCTCCAAAATAATAACTTTAGGTGAAGGACATCAGAAATAGCAAAAAATGGAAATATGGAAATTATGTGGGGTTTTTTGAATACACAGGACATCTAGCCTTTTATGGAAGAAGTCTGCCAACTCCAGTCTAGGTTGTAGAATGCAGAATGATACAGGGAAATACTGAACTGGTCCAGCTCCCTCCACTGAATGGCTATACGTGCTTTGACAAGTCACAATCTCTTTGAAAACTAGTTGCCTCATTTATAAAATGCAAAAGCCTGAGTCCCACACCCAATCAAATGAAATTCAAAAATCTCTGGGAATGCAGCCCCTACACAAAGTCTCCCCCAGGTGATTCTAAAGCACAGTGAGGGCCGAAATTCCCTGAGATTAAATGACAACTAAATCTCTTCAGTTCTGCTATTCTTTCTATAAATCACATAATTTGTAACACTGATTTTTTTTAAAAAGAACTGCATCCTAAAAATAACCTTCCTCCTGATATATTCCAAACTTAAGTTCTATACATTTCATACAATTAAAAACAAGTAGCTACAGGTTAAATCACTCCACAGCAAATAAGATCTAAATAAAATTATTTGTGCTAAAATATTTCAAACTTTAATTAATAACAGAATGTTACAGTCTAGGTCAGGAGTCAGCAAACTTTTCTGTAAAGAGCCAGACAGTAAATATTTTAGGCTTTGTGGGTCACATGGTCTTCTGTTGCAACTACTCAACTCTGCTATTCTAGTGACCAAGCAGCAGTAGAGAATATAAAAATAAAAGCAGAAGTGTGTTCCAATAAAACTTTATTCAAAAAAAACAGGCAACAGTCCCGATTTGGCCTTGGGCTATACTTTACTGACTCCTGCTCTAGCTGATACCACAAAACTCCATAAAATTTAGACAAGATTCAACTTGCATAAATTATTTTTAATTACAGTTGAAATTCTGATACTTCAATCTTTGGCTGTAACACAAGCGATGGACACAAACTCTCTCTCTGACATAAATGTAACAAATACTGGAATTATAGCCAAAGTTACATTAATAATATTTATCATACTTAGATACATATAATCTTCGGCAGACAGATGGTAAAACACAAACAAAATAGGATGCTTATTTAAAACAACTAAACAATGTTCTTAGTTGCCTGAATTACATTTTATACGATTTTATTTGTATGGCCTCTTTCTGGTATTCTTACATACTTGCAAGAGATTTTAAAATCTAAGTAGCTTAATTTAGCTCTTAAATAAGATCACCTTTCCATGTATGAATAAACTGTTCATATTTCTACAGGTACTAAGAGTACACTGGAATTACGTGTTACATATAAATGGAGGAGCGGAGGGGAGGGGGAAAACTTGCACTAAGTTGCCTAACAGATAAACTGATCATGTTAGTAAGAGACAGCTTTGTATTAAAAAATTTTTATACTACAAGTTACTGCAGAATCATCTACTGTAAGTTTTATTTGCCCACCAGAAAACTGAAATGTTGATTTACAATAGATATTAACGTAAAATATTTTTAAATAAATAAAACAAATGTTGTTTCCCCTAAATAAAAACTTAATACCTATTATGTCAATGTACTACAAATCAAGGAATTAAGAAGAGCTTAAAGTTTAATGAGTACAGAAACAAAAAGCCATGAGCCAACTCCCTTTCAACACCTGCTCACCTGAATACTGAATACCATACTGTTGAGGCTGCTGAGGTGGAGCCTGCGGCTGCTGCGCACCATAGCCGGCCTGTTGCTGGTACTGTTGGTACATCTGACCTGAAAAAGAAAAACACACACATACACACAAGAAAACAAGACATGTTTAATGTGGCGAAGAGAAATATTTTTAAGATACATATACATTCTCTCTCCATCCAAACAGAGTAACAATATACAAGAAAGCATCTGTTCACCTTTAAATGTCTATGAAGAGAAGGAACCATTTTAAAGTGTGATTTCTCTGCTGTGGACTAACTGCAGAGAACTAACTGGCAACAAACATTAAGTGCAACACCAGTGGCTACCATTTCATAAAGTCTAGAAAAACAAATGTTTTCCAACTCAGCTGCCAATAGATAAGTAACGTTAATGTTCATTAAAAGCCAAGTGAGTTGAAAATCAGTAAATAAAAATGAGAAAAGGGACAAATACCATTACTATCATCTGAGTCCTTCCTAAAGCACTGTATTTGCGCTATAAGGTTTGGACCTCTATTACCATATGAACAAACTCTTCGGTAGCAAGGAACTA